GGTTGAAATGATCACATGGAAGATTTGAACTTCTATAGCCTTAACATAATATGGGCCAGCAGAGCAAATGGGGAACTGCAGATTGGTCTCCACATAGACAGGTGTCAGATGTGAGCAGATGTGGGGATCCTCTGGAGGGCTTGCAGGAGGCTTGGAATTTTCAGTTCTAAAAGATTCCCATGGGGGCAGTGGAGATGGCTCTTGGTAAAGTGCTTGCCTTGCAAGGGACCTGACTCTGATCCCCAGGACCCACATAAAAAATCCAGGGGTGGTGGCATGCACTTGTAATCCAGTGATGGCAAAGTGGAGACAGGAGGACTCTGGAACTTGCTGACTGGTTAGCCTAACCTGTTTGTGAACTGCAGGCCAGTGACCCCTTATCTCAAAGAAACCAAGGTGGATGGTATTCTGAGGAATGGTACTGAAGATTCTCCTCTGCTTTCACATGCACACCGCCCCCCCAAAGTTCCCCATGTGCTTCTGAGGTTGTTGGCATTGAGAGCAACAGTCCCCAGTTTAGAGCTGACAGGAAGGATGCTGTGCGGTTCCCCTCTGAGAGTTCTCAGCTGCTTCTCTTGAATCCTGACTTGGCACATGTGTTGTGGTTTGAATGTGAAATGTTTCCCATAGGTGCAGGTGTTTGAACCCTTGGTCCTCAGCTGGTGGAGCTGGGTGGGAGGGTTGTGGAATTTTTGGGTGTTGGGAGTCTCACTAGAAAAAGAAGATCACTGGGAGTCAGAATAAATCCTTTCTCCCTTAAGTTACATTCCTCAGGGTATTTTAGGACAGAAACAAGAAACCAAGAGAATACATGTGATGCTTAATATTGATCGTCATCTTGACAGGATCGAGAATCAGACAAATTCCTGGCATGCCTGTGGGGGATTATCTTGATTAGGTTAACTGAAGTAGCACTAGATGTGGCAGAAGCATTCTGTGACCTGCGGTCCTAAACTGTATAAAGAGGAGACCAGGTAAGCTGAGCACCAGCGTTCGTCTCTCTCTGCTTCCTAACTTCGTAGTGTAGTTCGCTGCCTTGTGCTTCCTGCTGCTGTATTTCCTCCACCATCGTGGACAGCACCCTGGAACTATGAGCTGAAATAAGCTCTTCCTCACTTAAGTTGCTTTTGTTAGGACGTTTTATTGTGGCAACGAGACAGTAACTGATACAGCATATTTGCTTCGTTGTTCCACACGACTGCCTTCATAGGCAGGGCTAGATAACGCTTAGAGGCCTGACTGGTAAATCCTAAGTTCTTGGAAGGCAAGATGGGGCCGACTCCATTTCTCTTTATCAGAGCAGCCTTGCAGATGTAGAAGTGTGTTTATAAATTAAGGACATGAGCAATGCAGAGGTTTTCACACGTAATTATCAAGCAAACGCCAGCATCAGTAGCTAGAATGCCATGGTTGCTTCAATTTCTTCTTTTTTTTCTTTTTGGTCTTTTTGAGACAGGGTCTCCCAGGGTCTCCAGATGGCCTGGAACTCACTATGTAGACCAGGCTGACCTTGATCTCACAAAAGTCTGTCTGCCTCTGTCTCCCAAGTGCTAGGATTCAAGGCATGCACCATCATGCCCAGCTCTGCTTTAATATTTTAAAGTTGTTCTTGGGTATAGGGATTGAGACACAGTCCCTCTTAGTAGCTAAGACTGTCCTGGAACTCACTGTCATTATATACTACAGGCTCAGCCTCCCAAGTGCTGGGATTACATATACACCTGCACATCCAGCTTTCGATGTAGATTTAGGGATCCGATTCAGGTCCTAGTGCTTTCACAGCAAACACTTTACTAAATGAATTATCTCTCTATCCCTAAGCATATTTTTCTACTGCTACCTAGAAATGAGTTTTCTTGATTGATCTCCACGAAGCACAGCAGTCCTCTGAACACATCCATTCCTTTCTATCCACTCACTAACGTCCGTGTTGATGATTGAAACCCCATACTTAAAGCTGTGCATAATTATCAAGGCATTCACTATAGCCGTGACTTCTGTTGATTCTTTTCTCCTCATTTTCTTGTAACCCACGTCCTCCTCTTTGTTGTATTCATGAAGTTTCTGGAATATTCCTTTCAGCGACATCTGTGGGTGGTTAACTTTCTGAGTCTTCACTTTCTCCTCCCACTTGCATGCTAGTTTGGGCGGAAGCAGATTCCTGGCTCGATTCTTCTCATCCGCAGACTTTTGATGCCTCTCTTTACCTTCTTGTGTTTGCTGTTAAAAGACCTTCAATGCTACCCTGGGTTTTGTTCCTTTGTAAGAACTTAGCTTTTCCCTCCTACTCCTATAATGTCTTTTCAGAAGAAGATAATAATTTGATGCACGGAAATTGTACATGTTTATGGGGATGCTGTAGGCTGTTTCTATGCATGCGATGTTCAAATCAAGATAAGTGTATCTGGGCCTGAAAGATAGCTCAATGGGTTAAGACTTGTTGAGTCTGACCACCTGAGTTCAATCCCTGGGACCCACATGGTTGAAGGAGAGACTCCCGCAAGTTGTCCTCTGACTTCTAACCCCCAGTGAGGTACACAAGCACAACCCTCTCTTCCCCACAAAATAAATAAGTGTAGAAAATGAAAAGTGTACCCATCCTCAAACCATTATTCTTTCTCAATAGTAGAAACATACAAAATTCTTCTAATATTCTCCTCCTCTTCCTCCTCCTCCTCTTCCTCCTCCTTCTAATCCTTCTCCTCCTAATCCTCCTCTTCCTAATCTTCCTCCTCCTCCTAATCCTTCTCCTCCTCCTAATCCTCCTCCTCCTAATCTTCCTCCTCCTGTTGCTGTTGTTGCTGTTTATGTCTCATTCATGTATCCCAGGTCTTAAACTCGCCATGTAGCCAAGGATGATATTGAGCTTCTGGTCTTCTGCCTCCACCTCTTGAATGCTGGGGTTATAGGAGCACACTGTCACACCTGGTATATGTAGTTCTGGAGATGGAGCCTAGGGCTTTTTGCATGCTGGACATACAGTCTACCAACTGGACTTCAAGGTCTCATGTAGCCCATGCTGGCCTCAAATTTACTACGTAGTTGAGGATGGCTTTGAACACCTCATCCTCCTGCCTATAACTCCCAAATCTTGGGATTACAGATGTGCCTCACCATGTTGACAACTTCTTAAAACACACAGTACATATCATTATCTAAATTCACTCTTCCAAATATACTTTCGTAGCCATTGACTAACCTTTCCTCACCCCTCCCTCCCTTCTATGCTCCTAAGCCTTGGTAACTACTGTTCTCTTTATACTTAAAAAACTTCAACATTTTAGACTCCACATCTGAGTGGGGTCATGTGGTGTTGTCTCTCTGTGTCTGGCTTATTTATCTAACATGATATCTCTAGGACTGCCCATGTTGTTGCAGATCACAGGATATCATACTTTTTGTGGATGAACAGCATTCCATTATTCACACATACCACAGTTTCTCTAGTCATTCATCAGCAGAGGGTTTCTTACATTGATATTCCATTCCTTGGCTATAGGAAATAGTGGTGTAATGAGCATAGGGATGTAGATGTCTCTTTGACATACTGATTTAGTTGCCTTTGCATATATGTATCCAGGAATAAGATTGCTAGCTCATATAGTCTGTTTGTTTTTTATTTTCTGGGGAATATCCATGCAATTTTCAATAACATCTGTATTCATTTAGATTCCCACCAATCCCATGCAAGTGTTTCTTTTTTTCTCTGTATCTTTACCAGTCTTTTATAATAGCCATTCAAACTGGGGTGAAGTGATATCTAATTGGGGTTTGGATTTCCATTTTTTCTGATGATTAATGATGAAAACATTTTTTAAAAGATTTTGTTTTATTTATTGTATTTAAAATGTTTTTGATTTATTTTTATTTTATGGGTAAGAATGTTATGCCTGCATGTGTGTAAGTGCACCTGTGTCATCCAGTGCCTGTGGAGCACAGAAGAGGGCATCAGATCCCCTGGAACTGGAGTTACAGACAGTTATTAGCTGCCATATGGGTGCTGGGATTTGAAATTCAGTCTCCTGCAAGAACAGCCAGTGCTCTTAACCACTGAACCATCTTTCGAGCCCCAAAAGATTTTATTTTTAACTGTGTATGTATGTGTGTGTGTGTGTGTGTGTGTGTGTGTGTGTGTGTGTCTGTGTGGGAGTGTGTGCATATGAATGCAGGTGTCTGTAAGGTCAGAAGAGGGCATAAGAGCCTTTGGAGCTGGAGTTACAGGTGGCTGTGAGCTGCCTGACATGAGTGCTGGGAACCAAACAGTCCTCTGCAAGAGCAGCAAGTGCTCTTCGCCATTGGGCCAGCTCTCTGGCTCCAACATTTGCTTTTGAGACAGGGTCTCTCCATAGCCATAGTTTGCCTGGAACTTGCTATGTAGATCAGGCTGGCCTCTATCTCATAGAGGTCTGTTTGTCTCTACTTCCCAAGTGCCAGCGTGTGCCCGCACACTTAACCCACACCTAGCTTAACTTTTTAAAATAGTCTTTCTAAATGGGGTAAATTGATACCTTATTGGGGTTTTGATTTGCATTTCTGTGATGATTAGTGATGTTGAACATTTTTATATACCAATTGGCTATTTGTATATCTTCTTTTGAGAATGTGTATTTAGATCTATTGCCTATTTAAAAATCAGATCATTTAATTTGTGTATTGTTTATTGAATTGTTTGAGTTCCCATAGGCTCTGGATATTGATTCTTATCAAATGTACGATCTGAAAATACTTTCTCCCATTCTTAGCGTCTCTCTTCCCTCTGCCGATTGTTCCTTCTTCTGTGCAAAGTTCTTTTATTTCTAAGTGATCCCATTCATGAGTTTTTGCATTTGTTATTTGTACTTTTGGTGTCATATCCAAAACCTCACTGCCTGGAACAATGCCACAACACATACTGAGTTTTCTTCTGCTAGTTTCATAGTTTCCGGTGTTATGTTTAAATCTTTAATCATTTTGAGTTGATTTTTGCATATGATTGAAGATGGTGCTCTTTCACTTGGCAGCATGTGGATATCCAGTTTCCCCAGCACCATTTACTGAGGAAGGTACTCTTTCTTTATGTGTTTTTCTTCTTTTAAACATTATTTTATTTTATGTGTATGAGTGTTTTGCCTGAAATTAAGTTATTAATTTCATATGCCCATAAGTGAATGCTTCTTAAATATGAACACTCTTGTTTGTCTCTAGCACAAAACAGTCTTTCTTTCTTTCCTTCCTTCCTTCCTTCCTTCCTTCCTTCCTTCCCCTCCTTCCCTTTCCTTCTTCCTCCCTCTCTCTCTCTCTCTCTCTCTCTCTCTCTCTCTCTCTCTCTCTCTCTCCGAGGCAGGATCTTACTATGTAGCCCTGGCTGGCTGTAACTCGCTATGTAGGCCAGGCTGGGCTTGAACTTACAGAGATCTGCCTAAATTTTTCTTTAAGAATTTATGAACCTCTGGGAGCCTCATGAAGACCCAGGAATATGATGCTGAGGTTGAGATGGTGATCCCATGGCAAATATGTGTCTTAATAACATAAGCATTTAAAAGATTCTCATTTCACAATATATATAAGGTATAATGCAATAAAAGCTTTAAAAATACAGATCTAAGTAAAAGGGTGGGACTAAAAGGTTTTAGAAAAGTCAAGTGTACTGCTAACCAAGGCACTTGATGTTTTATAATAGATGAGACTTTATGGTTTTTGGGGTTGTCTTTTTGAGACAGGTCTCCCTGTAGCCCCAACTGTCCTGGAACTCACTATGTAGACCAGGCTGGCCTTGAACTCACAGAGATCCGCCTGCCTCTGCCTCCCGAGTGCTGGGATTAAAGGCATGTGCCACCATGCCCCGCGAGGCTTTATGGTTTTAATAGAGACAGAACCACGTCTCTCCTTAGAAGTTAAATCTGTTTTTTCCTTTTTGCATTTTAAGGTTTATTTATTTTGTACACGTGTGTATGCGCGTGGGAACCTGTATGTCACAGCATGCATATAGAGATTAGAGAACAACTTGAGGGAGCTGTTTTTCTCCTTCCACCATGTGTGTTTTAGGAATGGAACCCGGGCATTGTGCTTGGTGACCGGCAGTGTTACCCACTAAGCCATCTCACTGGCCCCATTTCCCATCAGATTGAAAGTTACGACGTGATGTAAGAAATGTGCATTGCTTCCCCCAAATGCCTCAAATGCCCGTGATGTCATTAGGATGTTTCTCTTTCTCACAGTTCCTGGGGCTCATGGTCTGTTTCTTCCCTTTACAGTACTTGGGGTGCATCGAAGTTCTGCGCTCGATGAGGTCTCTTGACTTCAGTACAAGAACACAGATTACCAGGTAATCCCTCTTGAAAGTAGATTTCTATGATTTTATCTCTGAAAGGAAAGATCTCAAAGGTTCATGTCCTAGAAATTTCTAGGTGAAAGCCTGTCCTTTTAGATACAAGCTGGTGATGCTGTCAGGACTCATGGTTTGTTAACATATGGGTATGCCTGTCCATGTGTGGAAAGACATGTCTCTCATCAAAGGTATCATGAAAGACCACTGACCCTTCCAGGCTCTTTTCATAACTAAGCTTCAGATATAATTATAATTAAGGAGTAACTTGTGTGTTCATGTTCATTTCCCTAATGTAGGAACTAATGCAAGATTGATGTCAAAATTACTAAACCATGTTTTTTTAAAAAAATGAAAACCAAGGTATCCAGAGAGACTTTCCAACAGTCCAAACAGAGAATAAATTGCATAGGATTACAGGTACAAATAGTCATGGGAGATGGTCATTTAGGAAGAAGAATGGTTTTTTTAAGGTGCTGGTCATTTTAGACATTTTATTTTTTAAAGTATGTATATGGATGTATTGCCTGCATGTGTGTAAGTGCACCTGTGTCATGCAATGCCTGTGGAGGTCAAAAAGGGCATTGGATCCCCTGGAATTGGAGTTACAGACAGACCTGGGTCTTCTGCAAGAGCAGTCAGCGCTCTTAGCTGAACCAGCTCTACAGCACCAACATTTTATTTTTAATTGATATTTTAGGTAGTCTACAAAATATTGGCTTCATTATGACTTTTTAAATTAATTTTAGTGTAAGAATATTGTGCTTCGTTACATTTTCACACACGCATGTTAATGTACCGTGTTCACACTCACCTTGTTGTCCTTATCCTCCTTCCCCTTCCTACTTGTTTCCTTCCTTTTCCCGAATGGTTCTCCTTCAGCTTTGACGTCACATATATTTACATTTCAGTTCAAATGAGAGGAATGTGTGTTGCGTGTTTCTCCCCCAACTGTCCTTTCTTTGCAACACTTTCCCTCCCGCTTCTATTTTTGTCATATATATATTTTTTCATATATATTCAATATTTCTTTGAGTGTAGCTTATTTCACTCAAGACAGTGATCACCAGTTCCATCCATTTTTCCTGTAAATAATTCAATTTTAAATATTTTGTACGTGTTAGTTTTCCACCATCAGCTGGCTTCTAAACGTTTCCAGGGCTAGGATTTAAACTTTTTAACGAAATTTTGGAGCCTGGTAGAGTTCCTAGTAGAGTTCAAGGTCTCAGAAAAATGCCGATTTCCAGTCATGTGTCAGAGAAGGACAGAGTCCGTGACGCAGCGGCGCTTCTGTGCCTGAGGAGTTTCTGTTGCATCGACAGTTGTGGAACTCCTTAACAACAAACCTCGGAAAACGACACTCAATGACTATTCAGATCATTGTATCGCACATCTTTGAGTCAGTGAATCAAGTTGAAGGGTTTATTATTTGTTGTCATTAGCTGCTGTGACCACACCTGTGTCCTGATATAAATACTGCAGTGATGCTTCTTCTCTTCACCAAAGACACTCTTAGTCAAGTGCTGATGTTTCTTTTCTGTCTCAAGCAACTTAAGACACATGGTGGGAACTCATCAACACCAGTGAGACACATGGTAGGAACTCATAGCAGTGAGACACATGATGGGAACTCATCAACACCAGTGAGACACATGATTAGAACTCATCAATAGCAGTGAGGCGTATGATGGGAACTCATCAACACTAGTGAGACACATGGTGGGAACTCACAGCAGTGAGACACATGATGGAAACTCATCAATACCAGTGAGACAAACTCATCAACACCAGTGAGACACATGGTAGGAACTCACCAACAATAGTGAGACACATGTTGGGGACTCATCAACACTGGTGAGACATATGGTGGGAACTCACCAACACCAATGAGACGTGGTGGAAACTCATCCAAAGCAGTGAGGCACATGATGGGAATGCACCAACACCAGGGAGACACATGGTAGGAACTCACCCACACCAGTGAGACATAAGATGAGAATGCACCAACATCAATTATCTAAGCTAAAGAAGTAATCCACCCCACATATTTGTAGAAAAACAGTTCAGAAAAAGGCTAAGGAATTATATTTTACAGGCCTGAGCTTCTAAGAGCAAAACCTAAGTGTATCCTAGAGAAGCCATCCATGCACCATGCTCATGACTGAGAGGAACATCAGGGTGAGAGAGCCAAAGTGAACTTCTTACAGGACAGGGTTTTTATGAGGGCTTGTGAGGTTTTTATGGGACTGAAGAATTCTCCAGAAGGAGAGGCATGGCCTTATTGGTTAGGTCAGGTGGTGTTAATGGGCAACCCAGGAGGGGAAGGGATGATATTAGCAGCTAATTTCAGAAGAACTGATGCTTAGTCAGAAGAAGGAGAAACCCATTCAGGCTGGAATAGAATGGGCTGCCCTCCAGATAACAGGGAAGATGATCATGCTATGTTCTCTCAGGACCAGGCACACACAGTCTAGCCAAACAGGCAGAGCCATCCCCACTGCCTGGGAATGTGGGGTGTGTGTGTGTCTGTGTGTGTCTCTCTGTGTGTGTGTCTGTGTATCTGTGTGTGTCTGTGTGTGTGTGTCTGTGTGTGTGTGTGTCTGTCTGTCTGTCTGTGTGTGTGTGTCTGTGTGTGTCTGTCTCTGTGTGTCTGTCTCTGTGTGTGTATATGTGTGTCTGTGTGTGTGTCTGTGTGTGTGTCTGTGTGTGTGTGTCTGTCTGTGTGTGTGTGTGTGTGTCTGTGTATTTTTACATTCTCCTGTGCAGTGGTTGTTCTTAAATGAATAAAGTCTAGTGCTGTCTTTCTTCTGGATTCCCTTTTTGGATTTCTGGGTACTTTAATTCTCTGGATGTATTTACCGAGATCTGTCACTGGCCATGTTGCTGGGTAGGGCAGGCTCTCTGCTTTGTCTGGCCTCCTAGTGTTGAGGAGACATGAGACATACGACTGAAGGTTATTTAGGGACACAGATAGAGTATGGTAAGGGGGACATGGGAGGAAAGAGTGAATAATTATAGTTTGTCCTTTGGTGAGGATTTGCTTCTTGGGAATTTGTGGGATGAAACCCAAATGGACAGAAGCAATGAAATATTGTAGAAGAAAGCAGGTGAACAGGTACTTGGTGGGTGTGGAGGTTTGATGCCTTTCTCCAGCCCTATTCCATTGTATAACAGTGGTGCAGTGCAGCAGAGAATGTGAACTGTCAATCACGGACTCAGAAAACATGGCATTGCATTCTGGATACACCAGCATTGTCTTGGGTTTGAGTAGAATTTTTACAGTCGTGTTTGCTTGTCTCTGTGATGCTCTCTGTCTCTGCATCATTATGTTTCCTAATGCCTCAGAACACACAGAGGCAACAATTTAGTACATCAACATCAAGAAGCTATTTGCATTTAGAAGAATGCTTTAAACACGCCCTGTAGGTATGGCACAGTGTGGAGCTTTTAAGGCCTCACTTGTTACTATGTGTTAAGTGTGCCTCTCTAATTAAATACTACTTCCATAGTTTATGTAGTAAAGATATCCTTGGAAGGCTATAGGGAAACAGTGTGGTCAGGTTATGCAAGCACTAGGTAAACTTGTTCCCAAAGGCACCCCAGCCATGATGTTTACTTAATTAAATCTTTTACTGTAAACAAATAATCTCTACATATCTATTTTATTACACTTTGAATATAACTTACAATTTTTAAAAAAAAATTTACTGAGAATTTCATACAGGGATATAAGCATATAAGGTGTTTTGATCAAATCCATGCCCACTTCGCCCCCTTGAATGCCTCCTATACCTCCACATCCCTTTTATTGATAACTTCATGTACTCTTTCTTCTTTTTTTACGGGGCTTTTTGCTACTCTAACATTCCCCCCTCTGAAGAGGTACCCCTAAAATCTTTTAAGGATTAGATACAAGCTCCTAAATACTTCGGACATTTTTGGCCTTTGGAAGAGTGTATGTTGCTAAGAGGCCCAAGGACATTTTGACTTTTAGCCAAGAAACTGGCTACTTTTCTTTGGGGTCTTTTTACCCTAACTGCCTAGCCAATTCCTACCTCCTATTCTTATTGCACCATCCTCTGAAGAGGTTACCCAAATTACAAATAGAGAATCAGGATGTAGACCACTGTGGCTTCTTCCATGCTGAACAGGGACACAGAGTGAGGCAACTGGGGTACCCCATTCAGTGGGTCGCTCTAAAAGACTCCCAACTTGTATAACTTACCTGTAGGGGGAAAAGAAAGTCCTTGACTGGTGAATAGGAGATGTGAATGAGAAGTAAAGGCAAGAGTAATTAGCATTACAAGTTCTAGACAGGGAACTAGAAAAGTCAGAACAGGGCAATTTTCAAATGTTCATATGAGGGTCCGTTGGAATTTCTGACAAGAGCTTCCAAAAGCATCCCCCTATTGCTTTCCTCCTCATTTTTTTTTTTTTGTCTGCCAAGGCTGGACTCAAGAGTGATGGGTTCAGGATTTGCTTTCAGGCATTTCAATAGCTTTTGGAGTGGTTATAATCAGTGTCAGTTCCCTCTCAAAGGCTTCTAGGTAGGGGGAGAAAACAAATTCGGTCATCATTTTAGAACAATAGCGGGATGCCTCCCTCAGCAACAGGCAGGCACTACAGTATTGCAGACCAAGATTTGAGGTCTTACATCTTAGCAGCACTTTCTGATTAGGAACAAAATCATCAATGAGAAATAATTGTCTAAATAACTTCTTATATGGACTTAAGCCTAATGTCTGAGAAGTATAATCCCTTGTACTTTTAAAGGAATGCACTGATGACTTTACTCTTTGGTTATGCTTTCCTTTTGGGTGTTTAAGACCAAACAGTTGGCCCAAATAAATCAACTTACATTTAAATTTAAGGTCATTTGAGGATCTGCTCCTCAGGGGACACATGGGCTTGGGAGGGGCCCCTGGCTCCTTTCTTTTACCAGTTCCATCTATGTGAAGATAAGTCAAGGGTCCTGCTCGATTGGCTGGCTTCACTTGGAA